TAGGACCTGCCGTGAAAGGTATCTGTCCCCCCAGAACCGCTTGCGTTTTCATCGCAGGCCATGAGAAGAGATGAAGTAGACACAAACTGTGTTTAACCTGTCTAAGAACCGAAGGCTGAGTAAACCAGGGGGCACAACCCGGTTACTAACAGGACCATACATGATGAGTTCCTCGGCGCCCGCGCCACATCTCTCCGAGAATTGGGCCAGGCACAGGCAGTGAACCGAAACGGGGAACTATACCTGGGGATATGTACAAGAGAAAAGTGGGGGGGTCTGCAAGGAGCGAGGTAAACTCCGCAAACGCGGGGAGCGTCAGGAACCTAAAAGAACCATTTCACCGTGAGCCAGAGGAGAAAAGGACTGGAAATCGAAAAGGAAGGGGGATTCTTTTTGGGGAAGGAGGACAAGGGGAACCGCGCATCCAAGGAGAATAATGTGGACTAGGGGAACCGCACGAGCGCGCTGTAACCGTCCCACAAAGTTCAGACGTACCAGCGAGCTTACGGGGGCGAAAAGAAAGCCTCGTAAGCTTACCGCGGGAGGCGATTGGGTATCAGAGCGCTGAAATCGTCACAGCCGAACGGGTGGGCTCGCAAGGGCAAGAAGGAGGCGATCAGGTATGCGAGCGAAGAAATTGTCTGTTGTTGGTGAGCAGAGGCAAAAAGGTGGGCTCGCAAGGGCCAGAAATTACTCCTGGTAAGCTTGCCGCAAGAGGAGATTGGGTATGAGAGCACAAAAATTGCCTATTGTTGGTGAGCACAGGCGAATAGGTGGGCTCGCAAGGGCGAGAAATTACTCTTCGTAAGCTTACCACGGGAGGCGATCGGGTATGAGAGCGGAGAAATCGTCTGTTGTTCATGAGCAGAGGCGAAGAGGTGGGCTCGCAAGGGCGAGAAAATTACTCTTCGTAAGCTTTTGGCAGGAGGCGATCGGGTATGAGAGCGCATAAATCCTCTATTGTTGGTGAGCACAGGCGAACACGTGGGCTTGCAAGGGCGGAAAATTACTCTTCGTAAGCTTGTCGCAGGAGGCGATTGGAGAGAGCGCGAAAATCGTCTGTTGTTGGCAAGTACAGGCGAACATGTGGGCTTGCAAGAGCAAAAATCACTCTTCGCAATCTTGCTGCAGTCACTCTTCGTAAGCTCGCTGCAGTCACTCTTCGGAAGCTTGCTACAATCACTCTTCGTAATCTTGTTGCAGTCACTCTTCATAAGCTCGCCACGGTCACTCTTCGCAAGCTTGCTGCAGTCACTCTTCGCAAGCTTGCTGCAGTCACTTTTCGTAAGTTCACTGTAGTCACTCTTCGTAAGCTCGCTACAGTCCAAAGTAAGCTTGCATGAGCTGAAGGTCCTCCCCCTCACAGAGTGACAACCTGGCTAACCAATCGTTGGCGAAAGGACCAGCGCGGGGAAAGCGCCGAAGAGAGCGAAGAGAGGGCTCTTTTGGGAAGGAAAACACCGAAGAGGCCTCCGCTCTCGATTACGTTGATGCCGCAGTGAACTACTACAAGTGACATACGTTTTAAAGTAAGTGGCACTCACGATTACACGACCAGAGGTGGTATGATCGCTATACAAGGAAGGATCAGAAAAGGAAAACATACAAGAGAAGAAAGGCGTTGAGGATAAGAGAGGCGAGGGCATCGTGGTGATCAGATTATAACGCCTAGTCGCTAATTCGGGCCTACGTGATCTGTTTCTTGCAACTCCGTGTTCAAGCGTGGGAGACGACGTACAAGTGGAGTGCCTCTTGCCGAGGTGAACCAGACGTAGGTACAAAAAAGAAGGTTCCGAGCGTCCCGACTATGATCTGAGACGGCGTCCAAGCAAAGACTTATCCCGACATACGAGGGTGGTTTTGTAAGTCGCAAGCGCATGCGGGTACTTTCTAGACTCCATCTTTGAATCCGATCAGACATGCATCTTGGCAGTCAGAGGTGAGACGAACCCTTGTTGTTCCCTGCCCCCTATTCCTTGTTCTTCGTGGCATTTACTCGTGTAAGATCCGGTGGGGTGGTGGCTCGAAGGTTGATTCAGTTGTTGTTCGCAGAGGGACAGACAGTTTCAATGATCGACTTTCCCTATCAAAAAGAAGTGGGATCAGTGACAATGTAATTATCGACTTTCCCTGTCAAGCAGAAGTGGGATCAATAACAGTGTGGTTTACAATGGACTTCTTAACAAGAAGTTCTTTTTCGTATCTGTGACTATTGGAGTCGACCGTTTCAACAGGTCCAAGCGATTCTATTAAAAATCGAGGGAAGGAATATAACCAAAAAAGGTACTCTGCCATCTGGAACTGGGGAGAGGTGAACTGCATTCGGAAGTCGTTTTTTTTTTGTTTGTTTGTTTCAATTGTTGAGTTAACACATAGCTGTTCTTGCTACCTAACCCTCATTGTTTTTTATCGCACCCAATTATCTAAATGCCCGGTTGCTCCCGACTATTTTGCTTGGTCTATCCTGGACAAGACTAATTTTGATTAACCCCCCCCAAAACCGAGAGACCATAAGGAGCATTCTGGGAAAGGTTCACCCGTGGCTCTCTGATCAATGGGCAAAAGGGATAACTCCTCCTCCTCGTCCTTTTTTAATATATATTTCCTCTTTGGGTGAGCTGAATCCCTCGAGTTTTAGGTAAGGGGCGTGACAGGCGGCCCAAACCCCATATCCCTGCTGACTGCTGACGACCTCAAAAGCGGTCGTGACGGGAGACAGACGGCACGACCCCAGGCTTCAGTGAGCGGCAAAAGATTTCCTCTTCACGCATCCTCACAAATTTGGCTCCATTGCCGACGAGGGGAGGCCTCGGCCTTCCCTGTTAGAAAGGGGGTGCATCGAACTGAAACTTGGTTAGGTTGTGCTGTGAAACTCTTGTTTCAACTTTGATATAATTTCGCGGCAAAGAAAATTGTTCTGTTTAGTTCTTTCTGTAAATTACTCGGGTCATAAATATCTTTTTCAGTTATACTTCGATATTAATTTTCCCAACCCCTTGTGGGGTGGGGAAATTCTGTCTAAAATTTTCAAAATCAATTTATGATTTAGTTATATTTTGTTATGTTTTTTCCCGACCACTAGTGGGGTGGGGAATTTCTATCAAAAAGTTTCAAACTTAATTTCTAATTCAATTATATTATGTTATGTTTTTTCCCGACCCCTAGCGGGGTGGGGAAATTATGTCAAAATTTTCCGAAATTAATTTCTGATTCAGTTGTATTTTGTTTCGGTTTTTCTCGACCCCTAATGGGGTGGGGAAATTCTGTCAAACTTTTTGAAATTAAATTCAGATTCAGTTACGTTCTGTTTTTTTTTTCCTGACCCCTAGTGGGGTGGGCAACTCTGCTGAAATTTTCAACTTTTAATTTATGAATTTGTTAAAATCGGTTATTAATTTTTCCAACCCTAAGGCGGTGGGAGATTTTGATCAAAATTTTGACAGATTTAAACTAGTAAAATTTTATGGTTAACGGGAGGTTCAATACGAACTATTACAACCCTTATCGAAAAAATAAAAATAAAACATCTTCTAGTTATTAAAATATAAGTTTTAAAAGCTAAAAAAAACTTTAAATATTGTATATTATGCAAGGAAAATGAGCGATAGCGAACCTCAGAAAACAAACAACATCATACACATGGGACCAGATAGTCATGACCTCGAACCAATAGCAGAATTGCATCACGAGTTAAAAAACACAGGAAAAGCCCATAATTGACAATGCTTGAATAGTCTCATCATCATCAACGAAGAACCAATGTCGATATCGTATCTGGCGCCCAGACTACAAATGGCAGATCCTATCTAGCCTAACCTACAATGTCGCTGATGACGTCAACAACTCCCCGACATACGAGCAGAACTTGACCAATGCCGTACGCTTCAAGCACCGGGTACGTCTCTCGTATCACTCACAACCTCGTTCCCCAACTCACAGATGCCGCATGCACCCAAGGACCACCCTGCGTCCCATCCAGCATATAGCAGCGCAGCTCGGCTATGGCGGCCTGCTCCTTCCAGCTCGCCTGTGAGCGCGTGAGCGCTGGCCAGCGTTAGCGCAACATGCAGCCAGTGCCCGAATGTTGAATGCGTGGGCAGGCACTTTCCTAAATGGAAGTGGCCTGCCTGCTTGCGTGCAACTTGGCTGTGCTGGGCCCCTGCCCAGAAGCTTCCGGTAGGCCCACAGTGGCTGAGCCCCAGTCCAAACAAATCAGGCCCTGGGCCTGTGGTGTTTGCCCGTATCCAACTGCCCGCGGCCTGTGTTCGGTCCATGTTGCGAATCTGGCCCACAGCCTGCCTCAGTTACATTTGAAAGAGGCAGCCTGGGCCTAGGTGCTCTCAACCAACTAGCGCTGCGCAACTGCCTGAATTTCCCCAGTTGCATGGTGACCCCAAAAATGGCCTGTAGGCCTCGGTCGAGCCTGCCTTCACTTAGGGCTGCCGACTGTGCTGAAAATAGGGCCCAGTAGGCGTATTGAGGCCTTGTGCCTCACATTCCCCCCTCCATACTTCGCTAGTCCTATGAGACGTTCAGTCTTCAATAATCTGACGCTTTCCCTTCTGCAGAGACTTTTCATATTGGGCCACAACTTGAGGAGCGGTCTGCATCAGTTCCTCCTTGGAAAACCATCGATCCTCCTTTGGATCAGTATGATGTCTGAATCGAACCCGTGGTTTTCGAGGACGTCCCCTGCCTGTCGGTCTTGGAACTGGCATTTCCTTGTGGTCAACGATGTCGTCGATGTCGACCTCTCCATCCATGGTTGGGGGCAGCATTGAGCGACGAGAGGGAAACTGATCTGTTTCCTTGGAAGGTGCCAGTTTGGAAGCGTGAAATACAGGGTAGGTAAGTAAGTGACCAGGAATGCAAATAACATATGACGGCCCATCCGGTTCATCCCCAACAACATCTAGGACCTCCCATGGTCCAAAGTACTGTGGCATGAGCTTGCGGGAGATCCCATGCTCCTGTCCCAGTTCTGAGGACTTAACCCATACTCTCTCTCCTACCTGAAACGTAGAAGGGCGGCAATGCTTGTTCTCAAATTCTATCATCGCCACCTGAGCCTTATGCATTTGTTCAACAGCCTGTTGCATCAGACGCTCATAACGATAAGCAAATTCTAAGGTTCCTGGTGCAGCAGAAGGTTGGTTCTCAGGTAGTAAGAAATCTAAGGGCAGTCTGGGCTTGAAGGTCAATAGCAGACTGTTCGGGCTCACTCCCGTTGCGCTGTGCACAATGTTATTGTACAGGCTGGCGATGAGAGCAAGTTTCTCATCCCAGTCTACCTGATTAGGCTTGATGTAGTGCCTCAGCAGGTGTTGTACAACGCGGCTCAACTGCTCTGCTTGCCCATTCGCCTCTAGATGATTCCCTGATGTCATCTGCAACTGCGTTCCCTGTTCTGCAGCTGCGACTTTCCACAGTTCACTAGTGAATCGCACATCACGGTCACTGACTATAGATTTTGGCAGTCCAAAATCTCTGACCCAGTCATCTTTGAACAGCTTAATTACGTACTCAGTCTTAGCTGTCGCAGGCATCGCGACTAACCCACGTACTTACTAAATCTATCCACAATGATGTAGACATAGTGCATTCTACTCTTGCTGGTGACTAGCGTATCCATGAAGTCCATGCTAGGGCTCCTAAAACAACACTAGTACAAGGTGAACTTGGAAAAATGCGAGTTTGGTTGTACCAAGATCTTATATTTGGGTCATGAGATTTGCGGATGCGTGACTGACCCAGACGCATGAGCGAGGGGAAGAAGTTGAGGTGGATCGAGTACATGAGCAAAACGATTCATCTAAAAAACTAGCTAAGTCTACTCATGAGCGAGATCTCATGCCCTCTATAGAGCGCTGGTTCACTGGAGGCATTACCTCCTAGGGCGATTCTTCTATTGTGAGATCTGACCATGAGACCCTGGATTAAGACACAACCCGTGCTCTCCGATGCACTCAAGAGGTGGATTGAAGTCGTAGATATGTATGACTTAGCTCAACCCTCTGAAGGGAGAGTACAACAAGGTGGCTGATGCACTTTCACGCAAAGCAGACTATCTGGCGTGTTAGTGACCGAGTGTGGGATTTCTGATGATGTGGTGGAAGCATATCGAGAGGACCCTGTCATGTCTGAGATCATGTGCCAACTCGAGGATAAGGCCACATTTAATGAGTTTGTGCTGGTTGTGAACGTTTATGTATTCCGTTTAGACTCTCTAGGGAGGCTTTGCGTAGTCTATTTTTAGGTGAGTGCCAAGACGCAACCGGACATTTTGGCTATAAAACGACAACTGCAAACTTAGTGCAGAAATTCTGGTGGCATCCGAGAATAGGCACAATCGGCCATCTGCATTTCAGGTAGGTGAACGAGTCTGGGTTAAGTCGTCTGAGTTGGGACAGGAGTTGGGAATCTCTTGTACACTGATGCCACAGTACTTTGGATCCTGGGAAGTTATGGATATAGTCAGCGTGACAAACCATTGACCCAGGCACTGCTTGGGCTTCTCAAGCCCTTGCCTATCCTTGCAGGCCCTGGTCAGAGTGTGTCCATGGACATCATGGATACTCTCGTAACCAGCAAGAGCGAAAAATGTCACATCTTCATCATTGTGGACAGATTTGGCAAGTATGCCAGACCGATCGCTATGCCAAAGAAGACCTGGACTGACCATGTAATCAAACTGTTTATGAATAACTGGGTACGCGATTTTGGTCTCCCGAAGTCGATTGTTAGTGATTGGGATGTCAAATTCACTAGCGAGTTGTGGCAGAGTACAACCCAGCAGATGGGAACTCGGCTGCGAATGACATCCGGCAATCACCCAGAGTCAAATGATCAAGCTGAGCAGAAGAACCGGGTAGTGCAGCACCTGCTTCGCCATTACATTAAGCCAACCCGGATGACTAGGATGAGAAGTTACCTCTCATCGCCAGTTTGTACAATAACGCTGTGCACAACACTACCGGCTTGACTCCCAACCAGCTGCACCTTGGTTGGAAGCCCAGATCTGCTCTTGACTTTTCGCTGCCCGAGAATCAGCCAACTGCAGCGCCAGGCAGCATAGAGCTTGCTTTCAAGTACGAAGAACTGCTGCAGCAGGCTGTTGAGCATAATAAAAAAAGTCCCAGGATGCCATGGTGGCATCCGAGAATAGGCACAGTCGGCCATCTGCATTTCAGGTAGGTGAACGAGTCTGGGTTAAGTCATCTGAGTTGGGACAGGAGTTGGGAATCTCTTGTACACTGATGCCACAGTACTTCGGATCCTGGGAAGTTCTGGATATAGTAGGAGATGAACCATGGCCCATCAGTCATTTGCATCCCTAGTCACCTCCACACACACCCTGTTTTTCATGCATCCAAACTGGCACCTCTCGCTGAAACTAATCAGTTCCCCTCCAGGCGATCAATGCTGCCCCCAACCACATTGATGACATTGTTGAGCACAAGCTGATGCCTACACCCAAGCCTCCAGGCAACTGCAGCTCCAGGAAGCATAGAGTTTGCTGTCAAGTACGAAAACTACTGCAGCAGGCTGCTGAGCACACAAAAAAGGTCCCAGGATGCCACAGTGGCATTCGAGAATAGGCACAGACGACCATCTGCATTTCAGGTAGGTGAACGAGTCTGCGTTAAGTCATCTCAGCTGGGACAGGAGTTGGGAATCTCTTGTAAACTGATGCGAAAGTACTTCGGATCCTGGGAAGTTCTGGATATGGTAGGAGATAAACCAGCTGGTCCATCATGTCATTTGCATCCCTAGTCACCTCCACACACACCCTGCTTTTCATGCATCCAAACTGGCACCTTTCGCTGGAACCAACCATGCACGTACACATGGACATTGATGACATTGTTGAGCACAAGCTGATGCCTATGCCCAAGCCTCCAGGCAGGCCCTCCAAAAGTGCGGTTCAAACATCATACTGATCCTAAAGAAGATCAGTGGTTCAGAAGAGAAGAGTTAATGAAGACTGCTCCCCAAATTATCTCAAGTTATGAAAGAAATTTGAAAGGGAAGCAGCCCGCTGTAGGACTTCTCAGGGGACTATCGGAGTAAGGGAGGAGGGAGTGTGAGGATCATACCTGTGTAGAGCCCCTGGAACTGACGCGTGCCTGCCTTAAGTGAAGGCGGGCTGAGTCCCAATGAGCCCTGAATTCATCAATTTTTGCACACCTTGGTGGGCGCCAGACAGTTGCCACGCGTCAGTTGGTTACATCTGCCTTGCTCGTGAGAATCAGAAATATTTGCGAGCCTTCCAGGCTCTTGCAGCAATGTGATGGAAGCAGGGCACACCGCAAGTTTGTGCCTGGGTGGTTGGTCATGCCTAATCAATTCGGTCCCGGGCCACTGTCTGAACGAGCCTGGGTGCAATACAGGAAACTCGGTCCTGAAGGCAGACAGCAGTCAGCGCGCCTGCACGTTCGATACAGGAAAGCGTTGGGTGCCTTGGAGAGGATTCGGGCACTTGGGAGGTGCGAGCAGCAGCTGTGGCATACTACGCACCACACGGGCCCTGCAGGGCCCGTCCAGGCGGACTAAGGGATAAGGGCCTTCAGGCCCTATGTCGTTTCAGCCTGAAAAGGAGGGCCAATGTTAGGCCCTCTTAAAGTCGACCCTTCCTGAAACATAGGCGCCAGACCAGGATCAGTGCAGGCCATTTTTAGGCCCATTTCAAGACCACCTTTTTTTGAAGTTGAACACCAGGGGCTGGCGCGATTCAGCATTGGCAATAGCAATCTCCCAGCTGAGCCAGCACTATATATCGCTGGTCCGCCCAGGAGGCTGCAGTCAGGAGGCAGTCCATGAGGTAGTCTTCAGGATTCGGCAGCAGCAATCTTCGGAGCGCTGCAGTAGTAGTAGCTAGGAGTAGTCTTCAGCGCTGGGTGCTTAGAGTAGCGTTAGAGAGGGAGGAGAGTGGCGGAGGCCAGGGACTTACCTGGAGCTTACCTGTGTCGCCATCGCTCCAGCTTCGTCTTCGAGGTACTTGCAGCAAGGCGCCACCTTCACGGGTTAGTACTAGCACCAGGAGAAAGACAGATAGTTCTTCTTCTTCCTCCTCCTCTGGTCCACCATCTCTCCCTCCCCCTCCAGCTACTTGACTTCTCAGTATCGACAGAAAACGACAGAGAGAGAGAGGTTTTAAAAAAGGCTGGATTTGGCCTAACTCTTCTCCATACGACGCTCCCGTTCTCTTCGTCCGGAAGAAGAATAAGGACTTGTGGTTGTGCATCGATTATCGCAAGCTCAACGCGCAAACCGTCAAGAACGGCGGCCCTCTTCTGCGCATTGACGACCTCCTCGAACAGCTGGGTCACGCAAATTTTATTTCCAAGCTTGACCTCAAATCGAGATATCACCAACTCGAGATCCGGCGGGAGGACGGCTACAAGACCGCGTTCAAGACGCGATATGGGCATTTCGAATAGCTGGTTATGCCTTTTGGCCTTACAAATTCCTCATCCACGTTCCAACCGGCTATGACGACGGAGTTCCGACACATGCTGGACATATTTGTACTCGTCTACCTCGACGATGTTTTGGTGTACAGCCAGAGTTTGGACGAGGATGTGGAGCACCTGCGCACCGTTTTGGAGCGGCTACGACAATCCAAGTACAAAGCCAACCGCGACAAATGTGAATTTGTGCGGCAGGAGCTTGAGTACTTCGGCCATTATGTGACGCCGCAAGGCATCCGTCCGCTCGCGGACAAGATTGAGGCCATCCATGTATGACCCGAGCCCACCAACACCACGGGCGTTCGCTCATTCGTGGGGTTGGCAGGCTACTACCAACGCTTCATCGTCGGGTACTCGAGGATTGCCACACCATTGACGAGATTACAATCGCCAAAGGTGCCGTTTGTATTCGACGACGAAGTCAGTCATTCCAAGCACTCAAGACGACCATGCTCATGACACCTGTCCTTAGCATCTACGACCCCACCTTGCCAACGAGAGTGACAACCGACGCCTCCAACTATGGTATTGGGGCAGTCCTGGAACAACATGACGGCGACGACTGGCATCCCGTGGAGTACTTCAGCCACAAGGTGCCTCCCATCAACTCACCTGATGATGCAAGGAAGAAGGAGCTGCTCGCGTTCGTGATCGGTCTCAAGCGATGGCGGCACTTCCTCCTTGGGCATCGTAGGTTCACATGGATCATGGATAACAACCCATTGACCTACTGCAAGACGCAAGATACGGTGAGCAGCACTATCGGACGATGGATGTACTTCATCGACCAATTTGACTTCACACCGAAACATCTTGCCGGCCTCTCCAATCGAGCAGCAGACGCACTCTCGCGAAGACTCGATCTTTGCGCTATAACACATCAAGCCTTCGCATTCGACGAGGAACTCCAGCGGCAGTTCATCCAGGGCTACCGGTCCGATCTGGATTTCGCACCGCCATATGCACAACTATCTTTGGATCACCCGCCGGCCAACAATTATCGCATCGTCGACGGGTACTTGCTTCTCCACTCGCGAGGCAAGGACTTACTCTGCATACCACGAGACCGTCGTCTTCGGACTCGCATTCTCGGCGAGTACCACGACTCGCGACTTCCCGGCCATTTCGGAGTCAATCGGACTACCGCACGACTTCGGCAACGATTCCGGTGACCCGACGTCATCACCGATGTCACTCGGTATTGCGACTCTTGCAAAGTTTGCCGACAAAGCAAGCCCCGCAACCGAAACCCTACGGCGAGTTGCGCCCGTTGCCTATCCCGCGGGAACCCGGCCTCTCCATTGCTATGGACGTCAGCGGCCCGTTTCCCCGCGACTGCCTCGGGCACGGCGGCATCCTCAGAGTCGCTGACTTATTGAGTAAATACACGCGATTTTTTCCATGCCAGTACTACGCCACGGCTCCCGAGCTCGCATGACTCTTGCACACCAGCTGGATCTGCAGCCACAGTGTTTTGAAAGGTATCGTTAGCGTCTGCGACACTCGGTTCATGTCGGCATTTTGGATTTCTCTCATGAAGGAGTCCGACACCGAGATGAAACCAAGTTCGGCTCGACACCCACAAACGGACGGGCAAACGGAAAGAGCACATCAGACTCAAATGATGCTTCGTACGCTCATCCGTCCGGATCAAAAGGATTGAGTTGACCGCCTTCCTGACATCGAGTTCGCCTACAACACTTTGTTGCATCCAGCGATCGGCGTGACTCCATTCGAGTTGCACCACGGTGGCTTGAAAGGCTGTATCTTCGCTGATCTTCTCCTCCCGCGAACAACTGACATAGACGCCGCTTGCTCTCCCACCTCTGTTCGGACGTACAGGGAATTACTGACTCAAGCCCGTGCGAACATGCACAAGGCTCAAGTCCGCATGCAGCAGCAAGCCAACAGGCGTCGTGTGCCATGTCCCATCCGCGTCGGCGATCTGGTTCGAGTCTCCGCGGATGAGTTTGCACTCGAACAGGATGTTTCATGTAAGCTACTCCCCACGTGGTTTGGACCATGGACTGTCCTTTCATCCGCAGGCGACAAGCCCGACGACCCATCTTTTGTGATCGACATCCCTCCGCATCTGCCGGTCCATCCAATCTTTCACACATCGAAGCTGGCGACAAATACACCGGCTAAGAGCGATGATTTCCCGGGCCGACGATCGCAAGACCCTCCATCCATGGATGGTCATCAGGAAGTCGACCTCGTCATCACGGATCGCAAGTATGGCAACAAGCCTCGACAGTACAAAGTTACCTTCAAAGCATGCGATCCTGACAACGCTCGATGGAGTTCACGAGCAGATTTGCAAGCATCCGCACCTCTGATCTACGCTCACTACGAACGACAAAGACTAGCTAAGGAAGCTTCACGACCTGCCCCTCCCACCCGGACTTTGGTCCCTCCCTCCGACAGGCAGCTTCGCTCTCGCAGGTAAGCTCGGAATTTCAAGGAGGGGGGGGTGTGGCATACTACGCACCACACAGGCCCTGCAGGGCCCGACCAGGCGGACTAAAGGATCAGCAAGGGCCTTCAGGCCCTATGTCGTTTCAGCCTGAAAAGGAGGGCTAATGTTAGGCCCTCTTAAAGTCGACCCTTCCTGAAACTTAGGCGCCAGACCAGAGATCAGCGCAGGCCATTTTCAGGCCTGTTTCAAAACAACGTTTTTTTGAACTTGGACGCCAGCGGCTGGCGCGAGTCGGCATTGGCAATAGCAGTCTCCCAGCTGGGCAAGCACTATATATCGCTGGTCCACCCAGGAGGCTGCAGGCAGGATTCGGCAGCAGCACTCTTGGGAGCGCTGCAGTAGTAGTAGCTAGGAGTAGTCTTCAGCGCTGGGCGATTAGAGTATCGTTAGAGAGGGAGGAGAGTGGCGGAGGCCAGGGACTTACCTGGGAGCTTACCTGTGTCGCCATCGCTCCAGCTTCGTCTTCGAGGTACCTGCAGCAAGGCGCCACCTTCACAGGTTAGTACCGGCACCAGGAGAAAGAGAGAGAGAGAGTTCTTCTTCTTCCTCCTCCAATCCACCATCTCTCCCTCCCCCTCCAGCTACCTGACTTCTCAGTATTGACAGACTATGAGAGAGAGAGAGAGAGAGAGAGAGAGAGAGAGAGAGAGAGAGAGAGAGAGAGAGAGAGAGAGAGAGAGAGAGAGAG